CGCAGAGCTGAGGCGGCGTATGGACTTCGGACCTGACGGCGATTAAATCCTTCTGCCCTTGGGTGTACGAATTACGCAAGAAAATGTTCTAGCCAAAGCATCAGGGGAGAGAACAGCCGGCCCCCAGACCATATCGGCTAATCCCTTGCATATCTGCCACGCACGGAATCGGTCGAAAATTTGAAGTCAAAAAGTCTAGTCTATCTGGTGCATTGTTTGCACGGCTATTGTTATGCTGATTACGTATATATAACTGTGGCCCAGTGGGAAAAACTCGCGCATCGAAGATACTGAGTCAAGCCCGTCTAAGAAGGGTTAGTATTTGGATGGGTGGCCCAAACATTATACCTACTCAAAAAAGCTTTTCAGCCTGAATTTTCTTAATCTATCAAGCAAAAATATCTATTTAATCGCTTGAGCATATTTCTCTACGAAAATAGAATACTTCGCATCAATTGGAATTCGCTCGTATTCTGTGCCCGGCGAAGAAAGACARACACTATCAATTTGAACTCAGCCTTTTTAAAGTGCCTATCAAGCCTACAGCATCTTTTCCATATTTCATAATCTTAAAAAAATTATGTCCTTTTCTTTCTTTTTGAAAGGCTTCCAAATTAGTTTCAAAGTGAAGGAAACACAATACATGAAGACTTCATCCCAGGCGGAGAAGGAGCCCATGAAATACAGTAAATGTATGTAGTTTGGGATTTGATGGGGTTCGAGATGTACTCTACGCCCGAGATGTAGACCGCTTTCTCTCAAAACACACCATTCAATAACAGGGTAAGCCTGTTATTTTTTTCCTTTTAGTTGGATGAATCAAAAAGCAATAGCAYACGAAACTGAGGCTGATGAGGAGGGATTGCTAACCGCTACTAACAACAAGTTTGAGAAAACGTTTGGGGACATTTTTTCTCGATAATATATTATTCTGAACAGAGTCAGAGTCATTTTKGTCTTGGTAATATAATATTCTGAACAGAGTCAGGATGAACGCTACATACTCAAACACCCCGTTAATACTAAAATAAGATGGGGAAGACGATCTCGAGCGCCAGTAATACGATTAGCAATAAAAAACAAGAGCACCCATCGGAGCCTTTCTGCAAAATATCCGCTCCACATGCAATTGTTTACTAGCTGGTAAAATTTGAATAATTTTAAGCATTTGCTGACAAATTTTATATTGACTAGATTAGTGTCTGCCTAAATGAGTCTTACTTTTATTTGCTTGCTCGGAAGCTCATGCCTTGTTTATTTTCACTGGAACAATGCTCGAAATGATAGCTGGAGGAGATTTGCCTCTAGCCTGTGTACAGCCGCTTCCCCCTTCCTCGCCGAGGGGTGGGAAGCGGCTGACACGGGYAAATTTACCTCCGGAGCTCCTCCTTGTTTACACTAATAGCACGTTGATATACGAAGCGTAACGAGGCCCGGGTCAATCACGACTTTCCGGTTGTTTAAAGAAAACATTATCAAGTATTAAAGAGTATGTATCTATTTGCTAGRCTTTCTTTTTAATTAATTTGATTGTGGGGGAAAAAATCAGCCAAGAGGTCAGTATTAACTGAAACGTATTTTCAATCTCTCCCTTTCTAGTGCTATGTTTTTTGAATAACAAAGAAGAAGCAGTTTYTCCTCTCGCCTAATCATTTGCAATACAACAGGGTACGTTTTACTAATGCAATCATGATAATTTTTAACATTGTCTATTATACATTATTTTTGATTGTGACCTTAAAWAAGCGTTACGCCCACTAGTCCTGACAAAAAAGCAATGTTGTGCTGTGTAATTCTTGATATCGCGATTTTTTCGGTGATGCAGCAAAAAGTAATAAGAATTGTCATCCTATAGCGGGAGGGGAAAAACTATTTATATATATATTACTAGAATTCCATACAGTAAATCTTTGCTATAAAAATCTCTATGGTTTATATTTCACATGTGAAAAAAAAAGTAAAAAGACCAATCTGCGTTGCGTACAGTATTTTTTCACATGTGAAAAATATAACCAAAATTGAGAATTGACTAAACCAACCAATCAGAAAACGAGAAATCGTGACATTTGGATGGCTTCCCGCCAAAAGCAAATTTGCGTATATATATTTTTTTGCAGCTTTGTAGCAACAAAATGGCGAGTTGTTTTTTTGTCGCATCAAAGAGTCCAATGATAGAATTTATTCAGTACCAAGAAAACAAAAAAAGCACATTATATAAGCCTAAAAGACACCTGGCTTTGTTGACTGAATACCTGAAGACCAAAGTGTGGATCAAAACATTGAGGAAATAGAGTCAAGAGAGTTGAACGAGCTGCTTTCTGCCTTCCTCGTTGAAGTCAGGAAGAAAGACAGAGATGAATACGAACCGCCGACTTAAGGTCACTTATATCAAGCTTTGCCCGATACTTGAGAAAGAAGGATAACCCTACAACAGTAATGAAAGGCCAAGTATGTGAAGTGAAAGTTTTGACAAATTGTTTCAAGCATTTATATGTGAATTCTAGTAATACTATAAGCTTATAAGCTTAGATAACTAAAGAGAAAACATCATAGAAAGTGTCTTTATTTCATTAAGAAAACACTAGAAGAAAACAAGCTTTTATATGTGAATTCTAGTAATACATATAAAAATGAGAAACCATCATACAAAGTGCTTTSTACGAGATGATAYTATTCACGAGCTCGTTGTATGTGTAAAAGCACTCACTCGCTCGTACCACTCCGTACGTCTTTCTATGAAGTAATCTATATTCTTTACAGAARAAATAATAAGTGGGGGCGAAAGAAACGGGAAAACTGTAATGCAATTGATACTTCAGTCAGGCAAGTTAATTAAGTGTACACTTTTTTCATGCCGAGAAAAAATCCTCGACAAAATTTAAAGCAAACTAAACACGTGCAAGATGAAAACCACGAAGCATATTTATATGTTTTTAAACCAATTAATTAAAACAATTAAACCATTAACGACATTTAGCTAGACATAGCAATAAAAAATTCAAAGGCAACACGAACCTTACCCAGCATTTGCCGATACTTCTTACGGGATGTAAAAAGTTCTCCGAATTCAAACTTGTCGTTCAGCAGCAGAAGCGGGAAGAAACGTTCCCTATAGACGCAGTAGGCTTTACTGATATGCTAATCAGTTCGAATTCTCATACATTTATACCAGTGAGACCGMTGAGAATATTGGGATAGTTTGGTTAATGTTAATGCATGGATTGGTCTGTATTTAAACTTAATTAAGATTTCATGAATTGAACTGGATTAAAAAATTAAACTAACAGCTGCCGGTCATATATGTTTTAGACACTTTCGTTTTTAGACACTTTCGTTTTAGAGACACTTATTATATGTCTTGTTTGGGTTACCTGTTGTGACTACTCCAGAGTAAGGGCAAACACCTTCGAGAAAACATACGCTGGTCATAAACTAATAGAGTAAGGGATTTAATTTTTGRACGCTTTTTAGATTTTCTTGTTCGATAAAGATGAAAAGAAACGAGAAAATAAATGCAATAAATGAACAGATTCTCACCGATGTACCCTTAACCGTTTACTCCTTATAAAAGCCATATTTTCCAATGATTTTTAAAAATAACTACGCCAAAGCAATTCTTCAGGTAATGTTAGATTTCTAAAATTAATTTTAACTTAAAATACTAAAGTAACTTTTTTTTCGTTCCGACAATCCACCTAAGAAAAGTCCAGTCCATTGAGTAAATCCAGATCCTGATTTTCCAAAAATTTGGATTTTAAGGCTTAAAATGCCAATTTCGAAAAGACCAAGTRAAATAGGTATCAAAGGTGTGATTTTTTTTTGTTTTTGTCGTAAAATGGTTATGGTTTTACGAGCATCAAAAGTATCAACCCGCAATCCCTTTGTACGCCATGCTAACACCCGCCTTCCCTMCCCCAAGGAAATGGGAACAAAAATTGGTGCGAGTCAATGAATATTGTGAAAATCAACACAATAACTCGCAAATAGTAAGAAATAGCGCATTCATCTATACAGAATCCTCGCGAAGTTTGGTGTTAATCAGATCAATACTGTTCAAGATACAGTCATTCAACTGACTCCAAAATTTACCAAGAAATGTATGATCGTGCCAACAAAGAGCCCGCCWATCCATACTTTTCTTAGTAAATTTATGGTAAATTTTGGAGTTTTTCGATGGCTRTATCTTATGAAAGTATTGACCTGACTAATACCAAACTTCGGRATTTATACTAGGTGAATGTGCTATTCAGTTATCATCCGAATACGAATACTCTGACACGGCACCCTCACAGTCAAGGCACGTCTTTTCGTACTGCTTTACGAAATTTGCGCTAGAAAGTAAGCCCGGGACTTGAATCGTATGCATCTTAATTTTTTTAAAGGCATATATGATCTACCCTTTCTCATTTTTTCATACTGGAAATGATAGGAATTGAAAAAAAGGCTTCTGAATGGTTTTCAAAGTGAATCATTCAAGATACAGGGGAAAAAATATACAACGGGCGGAGAAGGACCCCATAAAATACAGTAAATGTATGTAATTTGGGCTGTGAGGGGGCCGTGAGCYGCACTCTACGCCCGGGATATAATCTTTTCCCTTAAACACACCGTTCACTAATAAGCCAAGCCTTATTCTTTATCCTTCCAGTGCTGGTTGTATCATGAAGCAGTCGTTGCATGCATTGGGCTGGATTTTGTAAAATAATTACAACTGCCAGTCATTGAATGTTTTGACATTAGTGTCTAACCGGCATCGGGTCAATGACGATTTGACTGGCAGTTTCATTTCTTTTAAAAAAAAGTCCAGCCCAACCCGTGCAATAAATTCCTAATAATGACAGGATAGTTTGATTTTTGGTAATACATGGATTGGGTTGTTTTTAAAATAAATATAACGGCTGTCGGTCATTTATACATCTAAGTTAACTCAGGTTACCGTTGGTTACCTCAAAACGTTTGTTTGGGTTACCTGTGTTGAAGACTCCAGAGCGAGGCAAACACCTTCGAGACGAGACAAACATGGCAACTAGAYGCTGGTCATAAACTAAGTATTTACAAATTTCACTTGCATTTGAGGCCTAAAATTTAGGCTTAAAAATAACCTAAACGCATAAAAAAGGACTTTAAACAAGAAAGATTCTCAATCAATCGAAATATGGACGGAGAAGGTCGTCGTGGTGGCGATACGTCGGCCGAAGGCGCTGCTTTGGGGTTCATGATGACGGTCGGTGTGATGGAAGACTTGCTTGAAAAACTCAAACTTCTTGACTATGAAACAGAGTTTTGTAAAGCTCTTGGCTTTCGACCACTTACCAGGTAAGGTCTGGTGCTTTCTTAATTGTCAGGGTTGTTATCTGGAGCACTGGTTTGGAAAAGAGCAAAGAATTTTGTTGGAAAAATTGAAAGTTCAATGTTTAAAAAATAAGCAAGTGTCTAATGACTTGTGAACATTTTGTTTTTGATGAAAATTAACTGAAAGTTGTACTAAGAGAGAATGAAATGAAATAAAAGAAAGTATTTTTTAATCCTTTAATGGGTATTTATAATATTTTTGTAAATGTACCAATGTATAATTATTTTATCTTTGTGTACATTCAGACACTATTTTGCACTGCCAACCAATCCAGGAGAACAGTTCTTTACATTTACATCACTGGCTGCATGGCTTCTGAACCAGTGTGGTAGACACTTTGAACAGCCACAAGAGGTGAATATTATGAATGATACAAAAGACTGTGATAGTTGTGGCAGTGATGATGATGGTGGCGATGATGTAGTGGCTGGTGATGAATGATGATGATGATGGTGGTGACAGTGATGATAATGATGATGAAGATGWTGATAAGGGTGATGGTAATAGTGGCTGATGATGATGATATTGATGATAGGAATGATTTTAGGAGTTTGATGACATTGATGATGGTGGTGATGATGATGATAAAAATCATGAGGATGACGATGATGATGATCATAGTGGTATTGAAAATTACAATATTTAACACCTGCAAAATCTCCCAAAAATACATACAGTAGTACCTGTAGGCAAGAGGTGGCATTAATGGTGATGATGATAATGGTGATGATGATAATGGTGATCATGATCATGACTACAATGTTAAATCAGTATCATGCTAATAAAGAATATTGAAGCAGTTTCATTTTTAGATGTGCATATAAACTTTTATCTCTATTCAGTATCATACTTATAAACTTTGGAAAAATTCTAATTACTGTTACATGTATTTTTATTGAATCCTTGCTTTTTTGTGCCCATAGTATGATGATCCTAATGCTACAGTTTCAAACATCTTGGATGAAATGAAGAAACTMGTAAGTTTAAAATTACATAATTAAATCAACCATATATAAAACACTTTCACATTAGAGAATATGCTATCTKGGCCATTCCTGATTCACTTAGAAATGATTTTCACCCATTTCAGACCATGTGAATTTCTTGAAMATTTCTCACAATGTCTTTTGTTTTAGGGAATAGTGACCGATTTTCCTCCCTCTAAACTCAAGACTGGCTCTGGAGAACAAGTAAGTTCCAKGAACTATCTTTTACAGCTGTCTTAAATCTCCAATGTTTTTTGAGCTATAACATCTGGGCTAATCAAAGTCAGGATACAGAATACATAGATTGAAATGGTATTTAGTGTGTGGGTTGTGGAGGAATGAYAACTCAGAGAAAACCTCTGAATCAAGGTATAGACTCAATAAACTCTATTCAGATATGATGCTTTGTTCAGAAATCAAACCCATTTTTAGAGCCCAATGATGAGAGATGAGTGTCTTGACAATATAACAACCTTGATTTCTCAAATTTTAAAATCAATCCTTTTGTTATTGCTTTTTTTCCCAGATCTGTTATTGTATAGACAAACTGTCTGATGAAGCACTGAAATTGAAAAAATTTAGTTGGAAAAGGTTTGGTACAAGTTAATCATTTTATGTGTCTTTTAATTAAAAAAAAGAAAAATAAACCATTTCAAGCAAAACTTTGTTATCAAGAATACTGAAGCCAGTTGTACAAAGTCCAAACGAGTTATCCACTGGGTAATCAGTTTTACAGTGGATAAGAGTACTATCCAGCAAAAAGGTTCCAGCAAAAAAGTTAACTACAGTATAGGAAAAAATCCAGGGGATAACTACTATTTGAGCTTCRTACATTGAACCACATAAAGTTTATCCACTGGATAAGGATTTATCTGGTGGGTGGTGCTTATTCAGGTTTCATTCAACTGGCTCCTGATKTGTGTTTTCATTGTCTCTGGTTCAGGCCATTGCATCCTGAAGAAGACTTTGAAGAAGAAACAATGGAGGAAGATGAATCAGAGTTGACGATGAACAAAGTTGAAGRAGAATTCATTGTAAGAATAAGGAAGTGCTTGTCAGGGGCAAATGGGGTGCTATGACCTTTCAACTGGAATCTCCAACATGTAGCAGTTTAGTATCAACATGTTTGAAAAAAACTTAGAATGTTTTTCAACCCTRAAAACAACCTCCAGGTTAATAAAAATTCAGGGCRCAGCTACCTCACAGATTGGACCCTGAAATAATTTATGGGCTGATCTAAGTAAGCACACAGATAACTCACACATCGAACCCTGAAACAACCTCTGGGATGATCAAAGTCGGGGTACAACTAACTCACAGAYTGAACAGTGAAACAGCTAGTTCTGGCCTGACCAAAGTCAGGGCACAGCTAAGTTACAGATTRTACCCTGAAGCAACCTCTGGGTTGATCTAAGTCAGGGCTTGGCTAAACAACCTAACAAACTCGCATATGATACAGAGGTTTCCTAACATGTGTGACACTGTGTTTGGTTAGGATGACCATGATGCTGATATTGAAGAAGATGATAGTTACTTGGATCTGACAAGATTAAAAGAACAAAGCTCTCTAATGGTAAGCAGAACATTTATCTGTACTCCTATGACAAGATATTTCACAATTGCTGCATCTTATCAACCACTTGCCGGCCACTTATCGACCACTTACCATAYGTTGCTGATTGTACACTATTACTGGTGTTTAATTCCATTTGGTTAGGTATGAATGTGCTGATGTTATTTGATGGGGAGACGTTGGATCTTAGTATTTGCAGATTAGGATTATTTTACAGGCAGCTTTTCCAAATTCTTTTTTGTGGTTTCAATTTCTTTTCTTCAATTTCTTTTGTGGATTCTAGGTTTTTGGCCATGTTTTCCTGGGATTTGTAGTCTTTAGCACCCCCACCNATATTGAAATTTTACTTTAACTCTGCATCACAAATCTAAATCCACCCAAGTACACTTCAAAATAATAATAAAAATATACTTTATGTACCTGCAGAATAGTGAAATATCAAAGCCAGAATCTGTGATGGAATCTAATGTGGATGCTGCTGAATGGAAGCTTGAAGTAGAACGAGTACTACCTATGCTGAAAGTCCACATCAGAACTGATAACAAGGTATCAAGGATTTCATTCTTTGTATTATAAAAAAAATGTTATGAATAAATCTCGCATTTCGATCAGTTGGGAGCWTGTGCATTATGAGAACACACAGCACATGTGCACACTTTTAGTTTCATCATCTACTGTATATCCAAAACAACAGTTAATGATTGTAATTTGTATTTCATAAAAAAAAGTTAAAAACTTGCTTGCTGTGCTTTCTGGAGTTATAAAGCCCTTGGGGATTAGCAGTAGAACACTTTCAAGAGAAGTGTCRAAAAGCACTCCGCTATAATGCGTCAAATGCTTCTCCTTACACTTCTCTCATTTTCTGCCAACCCCRATGTGCTTTATAACTGTACATAGCACTATTTCTTCATAAAAAACTTAATTTAAATCTTTCCAGGATTGGAGAACACATTATGAACAGATGCAACAGCACAGTGATGGAATCAAGTCATCTCTATCAGAGACAAGGGTATGGCTCACTTAATATTTTATCACCTGACTATGGTTTAATAATATTATAAATCAGATTTGTTAACTTTAAAACTGGAGTATTCGGAATCTTTCTTTGTGTAATTATGTAAATTTGTATAATTCCTTAGCTATCCTCTTCACAACACAGTAATGCATATGGTATCWGTAAAGCAGCAACCCATGATCCAACAAAGTTCTTTCCATTAGTGAAGATAACAAAGTTAATTCATTTGTTGTTGTTTTAGGGACATCTTGATAAGCTGCACCATGAGATCAGCAGAACCCTGGAGAAGATTTCTAGCCGAGAAAAATATGTTAACAACCAGGTAAAATACTTGTTATGCTACTGTTACTGATATACCCACACACATATTGGGATTCTACTGCTTAAGTAGACTTGCCCCAAGTCAACCTCTCTTGTCCCTCGAGGAGTTTTTTATTCAAGCGAAGCAGGAACTTAGGGAGTGTACTGTACAAGTAGAGCTTATTTTTCTTCCCTTCTTTCGTACCTATGCAAGAGCTTGACTTCTCAAACTACAGTAATCTTGTGATGTATGATATTGATTTATATAGAAGTAGGTCAAGTTTTGCTTCAATTTTGCGTTGAAAACTATTAACAACAATTTAAAGTATTTTTCTTTACCGATAAGCTTGATATGTTACTTTGATATTATTCATTACATATTATTTGAATCCATGAAACAAAATCTAATATTTAAACAAAACGTCTGCTAATATCACTTAACCATGGGTTAAATACCATCACTCTTATCTTGTAATATTTCTTTGTCATTAGTTGGAACATCTTCTGCATGAGTTCAGAGGTCTACAGGACACCCTTGCAGAGGTGTGTGAACTTGGATTTAGGTTTTAGTTATTCAATCATTTTTGATGTGCATCCATTTCTTTGAGAARAAAAGGGGAAAAGGCCTGGCTGCCATGTTTATTGAGGTTCCTGAAGGAGGGAGGGATGCCAATCCCATTTTTTACCCATTTTTTACCCTTTTTTTACCCTTTTTTTTACAAACCTCAGCATCCAATTCCTCAACTTCTTTCTTTAAAAACCTTTTCCCATTTCCAATTTGTTTTGATTTTTTCTATTCCCAGTGACCTGAGTCCCATTTTTTTCCAGGGCAAATGAGGCAAATCTGAGTTCCCATTTTGAGGGGGGAGTGGCAGGGGCAGGGGGAGGGGAGGGAGAGGTGGGAAGTAACAGAAGACGGATAAAAAGTTGCTGTAGAAAGACTAGCAACGAAAGAACAGAATACCACATCTTTTACYTTATTTGAGCAAAGCACCTATGATGTCACATAACATAATCTTAACAATGTCTAATGTTTCAGACTAAAGAAAGATACAAACAAGGCAGTGGTGGAGTCACAGAGCTTACAAAGAAATTAGCACAGGCGAGTATTTGCTATGTATTWCATATTAGAGTTATGTGGTATGTGTTTTTCTCAATCCCCTTTGGTTMAAGGAACAGAATAACAATCTTGTCAGTAATTTTTTTAAAAATAAGATGTTAGTGCTAGCTTCACTCAGTGTTGGGAGGGGGAAGGGGGGTGGGAGGGGAAAGTCTCCTCACTCTGAGCTTCCTCTCATCCCCCATAGGGTCTGCCCTCATCTGCCTATTTGTTCACCCCCCCTCCCCCTCCTCCTGCTTACAAATATTATAGCATAATGCTTTTTTAAACATTTACAGATAACAGAAGAACTAGAGACAGTTAAGGCACAGATGGACGAACGAGGAACAAACATGACCGATGCAGGTATAGGCGGACATCATTATTATCCTTACGTCACCATAGCAACAAAAGATTCCTAACTCGTTGCTCAAACTTGATCTTTCTAGGTCCGTTAGTGCGAATCAAGCAGTCGTTAACGAGACTGAGACAGGAAGTACAACAGATGGAAGTGCGCATAGGTGTGGTAAGTACTATTGAATAAAAGAAAATGCGTTTCTTAGACTTGACTTTTGAGAGAGAGATGTTAGAGAACGAAGTCTAGGATATCACTTCCAGAGKTGTTGGGATCGCCACTCCTCCCCTCTAAATCGGGTCCCATAAGATGACACTATACTAAGTGTTTTTTCTTGTTTTTAAGGTGGAACATTCTTTGCTGAGTTCAAAGCTTCGGGATCGSAGCGCCTTGAGAGAAGATATGCAAGCACCGCTTAGTGATCACAACCTTGCTTTCAAAGCATACTGACATCGCACACACTCAACGTGCATGCACGTAAACCCTTTTATTGTACACACATTCGTAAAAATACCGACCTCGTCCGCATTCATTCACCCCTATCCTAATGGACCCTTAACATGAAAATACAAATGAAAGCCGCAAATTCCATCGAGAAAAAGTGTGATTTCTTTTGCATTTTCATGTTAGCCTTGCATCCATGATACTTTTGAGAAGTGTCCATTCATTCAGTTGCGGGAAAATTTTGGGAAAGCGCGCGAACAAATTTGGTATTCCTTCCTCCAGCTGCGCTATATAAGCACACGCCTTCGATCAATGTTTCAACACTGATATTAGTTATACATTAGCGATYTTAAAATAGAGGGATAGGATGCGCTATCATGATAATCATTCCTCTTAATCTCGTGTACATAAAGTCTCCATTACACTGATTAAAACCATTTGGATCAACTTCGTAAAAATCTCTAATAGCCGAATCAGTAGTTATCGATTGCCGACTAAATACGCCAAAAAGAAGGGCCGAAGCGAGTATAGTTGACAAACGAAAGGTAGCGCAGGCTTGAGTTCGGAACGATCTCGAAAAACTATTGATTACCGACAAAACTTCTTCGATTTGTCTTACGTCTGAGTGTCTTAATATAGAGTTGTAGGACACGATGCAATATTTGTTACATCAAAAAGACTAACAAGTAAATTATGATAAACTGCGATTACTGTTTTCGTGAAGGAATAACGGACAAAACCGTACAGCAGGCATTCTTGTTCATGACCTGATCAGCTCTACCTATTATCTTAGTTTAAAAATAGAACAAAAACTGTAAGAAAAAACTTTTTATAGCGCTGCGAACTAATCATGAATACATACGTCATCATGACATTACGCACAACGCCCCTTTCACGGGAAGGAAGGAAATTAAGCGGGTTTTTTGTTTGGCTACAATTTTCAATMATCTCAAAAATGTTATCAAAGATATCTCTCTTTCCATATTTCCGTCTCATTCTCTTTCTTTTCTTTCTCTTTTTCTGGCTGTTGTTTTTAAGGTTACATTATTAAGGTTACAAGTATTTTTTTGGTTGCTCCAATGCAATCGCATGCTTGGGATCATATACTTTCGGCCCTTAGCAAGCCTTTGTTGTCTTATAATAATACCTATTGTTTAGTTAACCACATTTGAGATTCTGTATCCACAAWGTTTCCCTCAAAAATGTCTGTGCGAGCACAGCAGGGCACAGAGATAGAGGTTAAGYCAGCCCTTGAGATACAATCTGGGCTTGCAGACATGGAGGGGTATTGGGTAAACAGCACTTCAAACCAACCACATGTTATCGCAAGAAATGTGAAGGATTTTGCGCTYTGATTATATTAGCTGTTTTTATTTACATTACAAGGTAATATAAATCAAAGCCAAATCGATTGTGTTTTTTTAGTGACCTTAAAATGACCTTAATYGTGTGCGAAATTTCGCATTAATCCTGCACAGGAAAGGCTGGTCGCTCTCGCCTGCGATGACTTGATCTGTAGGCAAGGTTATATAATGCTGTCCTCCTATTGGATAAAGTTTACCCACCATCTGTTATTGACATCTCTTTGTTGATGTGTTTTATGCATCAAGTATGTAATTACTACAGAATATGATAATCTAGTCRAGCTATTTGCTTTGTGCTACAGAAAGCTTCACGCAAGACAGAGTAAAAGATCCCTCCTTGTATCATCTCTGGCAGTGATCTTCTCAATCTAGGGACTTGATTTTGACAGCATTTACTCAAGCATCTCAACCACTCAGTCTGTCTGTCACCGTTCGTGATCAATATTACACTTGGGACAGAACCTTCAAATCAGACCCCATCACTGGTGTTCACTGCCCTTGGGCGTTCTATTCCGCCAATACACTATCTTGTACGTCATATCATTTACAAAGAGTTGTGTCAAATATAACTGGGTTTGTAACATCACGAGAGATAGACAAGCGAATGCTCTGCAGTTCTGTTGTTCGCGTGATTGTAATAGTCGAAATTCTACAACCGGCTGTTGTCTTATAATTATTAGAATGTTACGACTGAGGTGTTGAAAGCTCCATGCGAAAATAGAGTGTTGTTTATCGCCCGTAACTCGAACACATTGAATCCTAACAACTGTCTTGGCACTAGACATGTTGTGTGAAGAAAATTGCCTCCATTGATCCATAGTCGAGCATCGTCTATAAACGAAAAGGAAAGTTTGTGTGGGAGTTTGGCGTCTTCGAAACGAGTTTGTTGCCAGATTCTTTTAGATGCAAAGCTGCATGACTGTATAGATTACCACTGACTGAGTATCACATCTGGCAACAGTCAGCTTAYATATCTTTCGGGTTTCTCTCGTAGTAAAGGATGCCTTGAGATTACAAATTTGTTTATGCTTCAGTAAAGATCAAAGTCTTGGCTGCAATTAATCAAGCATACGATCAAAACACCGTAAACCAAGAACCGCAAGAAGCTGATTTTAATCAAGTATTGTTCTGCTAATGGGACCCCAAGACGTTACTACAAGATTGTAAAAGCTTCTRCAAACATTCAGTCTGGTCCGATCCTGCGACCTCTATAAAAAGTCCCAAAGCTTTTAAATAAGATAAAAAAATCGTGAGTGGCAGACAAGGGTTCTTGAAAGTATGCAGCCGTGGAACGAAGATGCCTTTGTAAACAAGCTTTTTCCGAAAGAGCGACAAAATGACATTAACACATCGTGTTCTACTCGGTATGTTTACGAGTCCAACGAGATTAGGATAACTCGATTAGCAGCACAATCATTCTTGGTTTTCGCTGGAGTCTTGTTCAACATCATCATCTGTGTACTCAACTTGAAACACTCGAATATCAACGCTGCCATCAGAGTTTACCTTCGAAACATGGCTGTTGCAGACATTGGGGTRCTCTTGATTGGTTTCCTCTTCGCTGTTGCTAAAGAACAAGAGGGAACTAGTAAGTGGGTACTAGGAGGTGTAGCGTGCAGGTATATTTACCCTGTAACGGACATGTTCTATGCTGTTACAGTATGGACCGTTGTCGCAATTGCCGTAGAGAGATGTCACATCATGAAGGGAGACAGTGGTAGTTGGAATAGTGGACCCTCTCGTGGACTACGCACTGTACTCATATTRTGGTTTACAGCTTTCTTTGCTATCTCTGTCCCGTTATTTTTTGCCAGTAATTATAAATCATCTTGTGGACGAAGATACTGCTTCATTCGTTGGCCAACTGCAAGTGACGGAAACAACATTCCTCCCAAAATTCATTCACTTTTCCTTCTTTTCGTTATAGTTATTTTACCCGTAGTTGTAATTTTGGTGTCATGCTGTAGACTAGCGTTTGGGTATAGGCATTCATCAGGGGTGTGTAATCCAGATCGCGACAGCATGCGTCAAAGATTACGATCAGATAACAGTGAAAACAGTGAACAAGACGAAGTAAGACACCACGAATGCGACGATGCCAAGCGTTTTCTCACCCCTTTGGTTATTCTACTCGTCATTTCCACAATTCCTATGCTAGTCTTGCGAACAATCTTTATTTTTAGTTCCCAAAAGCTGACGCTAGAGAACTATCTTGTTCTATTAAACATTTCTATCATGTTGACTGTATGTAATTCTGCAGTCAGACCATTCGTCTATTATGTGGTCAGTCAAGATGTCAGGGATGGGTTTTCATTACTGGTGAATAGGGTTAAACGAAGGTTACGAATGTGCTGTAGGAAACAYGATGAGACGACTATACCACTACAAGATAATGTCGCAATAACTCGACACTCTTGTTATAAAGAAACTACGCTATAAAGTCCCGATAGTGTCACGAGTATGTATTCCCATTCATTGCTGACGATAATCCGACAACTATACCTACAAGATAATGTCACAATAACTCGACACTCAAGTTATAAAGAAACTACATTATGAAGTCCCGAAAGTGTCACGAGTGTGCTCCGATTATTCAAATCCGACCAAAGTCGACAGTCCATGTAATTCATTAATGTTTTATATCCAGACACTTGAGAGCTAGCTCACATTTAAACTGTAGCTCCTAGAGAACATTATCATGCTCCGACCAGTTGGAGGATAATCCGATCAGCTTCGGTTTTAATCCGACCTCTGGTCCGACCATACCAAGCATGGCGCTATATTAACAACATGTTTGAGTTAATTTCAGTTTAGTTATGTCATATTTTTATATCAGTTCTCAATAAAACTAGTTWTGTTATTCAAGAGATGTATTTGATTTTGTATTTTCTTTAAAAATCAGATGTGTATGAATGCAATAAATTCCGACATGTACATTAGAAACATCACATGCAAAAGGCATTTGTACAGAAATTCTGCGTAGTTAAGAACAGCTTAATCGGTGCATGGGGAATAACTGCCCTCATATGCTCTTTCAACAGAGTTGTCAGATAGTAGCAACATTGAAATAGTGGTCCCCTAGGGATATAAATCAATAATTGCGGGCAGTACTAGTGGTGTCCAGGTTAAAGAAGATATAATGTATAGGAGGTGGTCAGTTATGAAATTTTGCTCTTTTTGCATAACAATATATATWTTTAATTTGTTTCGATACTTTCGCATTTAAATTTTTTATTTACTTGAATTTTGTTAGATATTATTAGTTTTACAGGACTTTCTCGAAAACCACCATATGATATTAAGAAACATCCTTTTAAAATCATTGCATATAAGTAAATCATGATGATACTTGTCATACTTAAGGCCACAAGGAGACACCAGTACTGAAACGTGCGTCGAGGAACCTATGTGGTATCATCTCCTGTGTGTATTTTCCCTATTTATTTCATAACATTTCGCAATATCGTTTGAATATATATACCCACAAAGACAAAACCCCAGCATCTCAGTCAACACCAACCAGAACAGAAAACTACAAGAACATTATAAACAGCATCGTGTATTAATAGTAAACAAAGCAAAATGTCACCCAAAAAAATCTGTTGTCGTAGCAACCAACCTTATCGGGTAATTTTAATTTGCCACGTGGATCGTCATAAAACAAAGCACGTTCCCAAAGACGTCAGAAGAGTAATTGCTTTAGAGTAAGATAAGAATACATTAAGTAATTCGTTCAATTTACTGTACGAGTACAAGTGATCGCCTTTTGTCACTAGACATCGATAATACAAATCACTATTCTGACAGTGTAAAATCCATTAATCCCCATCAGCTTAGAATCTTTTAAGGTGTACACTGGGCTAGTGACAATCTATTTGTAGACTTTGCAATAATCTCAGAAAAGAGCCAAGATCCATTATAAATATTCATGTCAAATGACAGGTGAATTTWAAAAAATTTAAACCTTATGATGTTTGAACTTTTGTTCAGTGAAAACTGAAAAAAAATCAGCCTTCCACCGGAATTCGCGCGATTGTTATGCAATTATTCATTTATTTTCGAGTCGATCTCGCTACCAAAATCGAACCGTGATTACGTAGAAACGACACAAAACTAATAACCATTTGTTATAATTAAGCTAAATCTTACGTCGACAAACACACATATATACACACATCTGTCGCTAATATCTCCCTAAATCCAAGCATAAATATCCTGATAGTGCACTGCATTAAATAAACGAGTGAACAAATGTCGGTAATTTTGATGCTAAAACGATCCRTCTTGTAATGTAATATCCAGGTCCTTGAGCTGGAGACCTAAAGACATAGTACTCCAMTCGCTAATGGCTCAGTTCAACCTCACAAAAATAAAAATGAAAACTTTCTAACGAGCTTAATGTCATTTTTAATATTCTAGTTTTCGTAGCTCGAATTAAGATGGAAGGAGCTTGAACTATTGATATGGTTAGTCTAGTTTTTCATTCTCATCTTCCAAGCTTTCTTTTTCTCGTTCTACAGTATTGAGCATGTCTTGGACGATACAGTCCAGTTCGTTATCGACGACTTCCGCGGTAGAACCGCAATTAGGCGTCATTTTGCTATCGCAGTCAGAATTCCTGCCATCGTCCGGTTTTCCGGAAGATGAAGAAGAAATATTGCTGTCCTTGAATTGCTCGTTTAAGTCATTAACTTTTTTCTTGCGTTTTTTCCGTAATTCCTCAAAATGGCTTTCCCTGTAWGAACAATACAATGCTTGTCCTATTGCTTTCGCCTTTTCTTCCGAAGTACACATCACTGCATGGCATTCAACCTGAAACGGGCTCTTCGAAACGTGATGATTAAACGCAAAWATATTAGAATCAAGTCGATTGAGCGAACAGTACGAAATATCCTTGATGGCAAACGACTGCTTTTTTTGACCCTGAGTTATTGTCATCTCTTCTTTCTTCACTTCCAAGGTGACTTTCGGACACGTTTTCTCCGCATCATAAATTCTCTTCACTGCTTTATCGATACCATTTACTCCGGGCTCATTATTGTTCGTACATCCCAAATATTTTACTTGGAAAGTCTTCTCCTCTTCGAGATTTGCCCTGCCAGACTTTCCCGGCATCATGTTGTTGTCTTGTGCAAGCGGGTTTTGATATTTGCTGTGTTAGAATATGGAACCCAGAGCGAACTTGCAGATAATATCATGTGCTTGCAAGGCAACGCGCTTTTACCGCCACGAGATAAAATTGATTTTACATTGGAAGTTAAAAGAGCAAAGGCGCTTTCTGATTGGTTGGTTAAACAAAAGCCGACATCTTAGTGGCTTTTTTCACCTGTTTTGTTTTGTGACCACATGACGAAATAGTGGTCGCGTGACGTGAAATTGAGAATGGATTTCTTATATGGCATCCAGGTCTAAAAATAAACACTATGGCCAATCAGATATAGGTTCAACAAAATACCATTTTTTACAATAATTTTTTTTTTGTTCTTGTACTTGTATGTGTCACCCTTTCAACACTTCTCGTTTTAAAATAGTTTATATATACATCGATATATGTTTTATTTTAAAACATTTCCCTCTCTGGTAATCATTATTGGTACATGTTTTAGTTTTAAAAACATTCCCTCTTTGGTATACATAWATATTTCCTAGTGAAAGGACTTTTCCAGCAAAAATGAGGAGTACAAAATTTATAGAATTAGGGTTTTTTACTCATACATTTTAATAAAATCAGGTATGTTTATTTGAAATACGAACTGCGTTGCAGCACTCCCTTCCATATATAAAGATTAGTCGTCTGTGGACTAAACCAAATATACTCTAAATGWAAGCTGCAAATGACGTCAATCGCCGGATAGACTGTTGAGGCGAAGATATGTTTGGAACTATTACACAGATCAAATGTATAYTGATAGCCCATTCTTCACAGTCGGCTTTTAAGTCCACGATGGACTGGTTGGGTTTTATGTGATGTCATAGCCGCCATCTTGGAAGAATAGAACGGGAGATTTTCTCCACTATGGCGGCCGTTCCAAGACCTCGTTTTTTCATTATGTTGGGAATTATTGCAAACGTCACGGTTAAATAAGAGAGAGAATGCCGAGAGAGGTAGATAGARTTATCAATAAGCTTATGACTAAGCTATCTGGCCATCTAAAAGACACAATATAGATTATTTCCGTTATTTGCGGCGAATGATATATGTGTTCATATATAGAAGTTTAATGGCGTTTTTTTTGGTAAATATTTTTCCTCGTTAACGATTTTAATTACAGAATTTACTCAGTTCTATGACCTGATAGTCGACAAAGGTTTCAAGCTCTGAAAACTAGTTGCATTTTGCGAATCATCAATTGGACCCTATCTATAGCATACATATCAATGGGTAATAAACATAGCAGGAACATTATGGCTATCAATTTAATTTAACACCTAGAACTTTTTAAACGCCGCTCTTGTTTCGGCGACTGATCTTTGTAAGCACCTGACGCCATCTTAGAGGTTGGACGTTCTGATACTTTAACAAAGTTATTTTGTGTTCCCGCTGTTTCGTCTCGTTTTCGTCTTTGTTCTTGATGATGAATATCGACGACGGTTTCTTTTTCTACAGCTTTATTCTTTACTTCCTTAGAGTATTCATTTATGACTCCACTTGTAAATGCAGGAGGTYTGTTTCGCATATTTTTCTGGGGATTTTCATTGTCTTCTCGATTGTAATGTTGATAGTGAAAGTATTGGTTTGAAAGCACATTATTTTCTATTCTCTCTTTTCGTAGTCTTGCAAGATATCTTCCCTTGAACGTAGAATAAAAAGCCACTTTTATGGCAAGCATCTTTTCCTTGGATTTGCAGCAAACTACATACGTTTCGACTTCYCTTTTCGACACATGTCTGTTCAAAGCTAATATGTGGTAATTCCATTTTGGCGGGAAAAATCCGTACGACATCTTTTCTATGGGAATAGAAAAAATTTCACGTCCTTCCTTTTGTTTTCCCTTGGGAAATAAAGCAACTCTGTTCTCCGTGACATTTATAAAATGCTTCCCAAGAAGCTGAGAACTTATCTCCTTACTCAGAGCTCTGTCCGTCTGTTGATTTACAGCATTTTCCACAACTTTTATGTCCTTTGCGAGCTTGGTGACAGAACCAAGATATTTCACTGCAAAAGTGTTTTCATTTTCCAAGCGTTTCGAACGATACTGATTTCTAAATCTTTCCCTGAAAGGCTTCATCTTGGACGCATGAACTCCAAACTATTCCCTTGAGTTACGAGCTAAAACCCTGAAAATGGCTATGGATATTACATCAACTTCAGCTGTGACAACTGAATTCAGACAAACTTCCAGAAACGTTTTCCTGCGGCGAAAGAAAAGCCGGTTTAAATTTTCGTTGAGTCGTGTTTTAATGAATGATATTTTTATATTTCTACTTACTCTATGTAGTACTGAGGTCACGACAATAGAGACTCATTACGAGTTGCAGGTGGCTACAGTAATTAAATTTTCATCACAACCGTTTTGCATTCATGCAGAAAATCTATGAACTAACCATACTTATAGATCCAACCATCAAATAAAAAGCCTATAGTTTGAAAAAGAAATATCGACATTCAAGAATAAGGCATCTGAACTAAAAAATTAAAAAATAATAAAAGATTGTATGCCGGATAAAAAGTGTCCTAATTCATTTGCTATAATTAGCACGTTGTTGAAGGCCATTCTTTACACCATGGTTATGAATTTCCTAACCACATTGACCGGAATTGTCAAAAATAACTTGATTGCTAGCAAAGAAAAGATTCCGCATGTCACTATATGGTAAACTTATGTAATCAAACGATGGCGGGATAAGACTAAAATAAGCAAAGATTTGACAATCAATTGATAAGATGGCAATCATTTCCATGGAAACACTATGAGATATCGAAAGCATCTTCAATACATTTCAGCCAAGAAAAAGTACACGGTGTGAAATGCATTTTAGATTCCTGTCTGTCAGAGATTTTTCCGTTGCTGAAACAGCGACATGAACCCTTATGGGGCACCTTTAATTTTCTAGCTGAAGGATGCAAAAAGTGAAGAAATTGAGTTTCYTCCGAAAAGTACCTTTCACATTTCATGGAAGTATGTCAAAAAMTGAATTCAAATCAAACATTCTTACACCAGTCATCGAAAATGCTTCCAAAATGTATCAAATGTTACTGAAAAAATCTCTAAGATGTTTTAGAGCCCTTTTTCTGATTACGGAACCGTTTTATTATTATTATTATTATTTTTAATGCACACGAACATTTTTACTAAAAAAACATACAAAATTAATGTATAGTTTGATGGCATGTGATGTTTCTAGAGAATTTCATTTATGGATGGAAGCCAAATTTTTTCCACCAGGGTTGTGTGGTCGTGTTCGGCTTGCGTTCGTGGAGTGTCATCATTTAATGTCGGACATTCTTCGGGAGTAAATCTGTCCTTCAGAAATAAATTAAAAACGTACGTTGGAAYGTAACACGTACGTTGTCTTGTCTCTGGTTGTAGGGTAATTTTAGCACAAAACCTAAGACTTTTTCTATTCAGATGGATTTGCATTGACGTAATTTTAAATTCTAGACAGTTCTATGTATGCGAATGACGACAAAATCAATTGATGTAAGGCTTTGCTTTTGGCGTGATATATAATAGATTATTTTTCATTCAAGTGCCAACAAGTGCCCACTACAAGTTAAATGTGGGCATCATTAGGATGGCAATAAGTTTGACGTTTYAGTCCTGAATACGAGAAAAATCTAATTTCACTCAAAGTACAAAATCGCAACCAGAGTGCCCAAGGTCAATAACAAAGTGYTTTAGTGTATAAAGATAATAAAACGTTGAAGGCAAACTACGTGAGGTGACAATAATCGTTCAGGAACATTAGGTTTGATTAATTACAATTAAAATTTCATTAACCCGCTTGCGAATCACAGCCGAAGATTACGAATTCACTTGTCTACTTCGGTTATCTTTTTGTACGTTTCATTTTAAACTTTACCAATCCAGACAATTCAATAARTCTGATTTCTCACAGCTATTTCATTCCGAACGGAAGTCCACTCCGTTCCAGTCCAATTATTCCATTACGAGTATTCTTGACAATTATTAATTTTTCAACTCCAATTAAGGTATCATCATTATATGTAAATGAGACGTAACGATTTATTTACAACCGYTCTGCTTCTGACAGCTGCACTTGTGTTTTCAAAGCAAAAATGTGTCTAAAAGATGCGTACAGTAGTAGCGAGCCACCACTGTGAGAAACTACAYGAACAAACGACCTAAGCTTGTGATCACGGAGTTTTATCATGGAGGATACGAAAACGAAGTCCCCCAACGGCGAAGGCAAGTCAGTTAAACGGTTTTTCGCTCGTTTGAGCTTTAAATCTGAACAAAAAAGCTATGAAATTGAGCCAACGAAGACGTTCATCGTGCAGTCGATTGGAACAGCAGAAAGAACGAACCCAGGTGAGGAGGGAATGGAAGAGTGCTTGAAGTCTCTGTACTCCAAAGCTATGCCAATGAAGGAGATGTTGTTAAAAGTGAAAATTGCGATTTCACCAGAAAGTGTAACTATGCGAGGCCTTGGAGGTCAACTGATCGAGGAACAAGATGAAGTCATCGTACCAATCAGTCGAATTTCCTTCGTGGTAGCTGACAAAAAACACCAGCTTTTTGCCTTCAACGACCATGTCTCCAACAAACCCAGAAAGATTATTTCGTACGCTTTTATTTGTAATGATGCAGAGAGCTCAGCTACTATTGCAGCTACTCTTTCAACTGCCTTCAAGGAGAAGCTTGGTAGAAGAAGCTCCCGTAAGGCTCGCAGAACAGTGTCTTCTGATGAGGACCAATYAGTGCAATAACTTTTTATAACGGACAGGAATGATTATCTGGTCTTTAAGAATAGTTAGCAGACTATTTGGAAGTCGGGCTCAGCCTCACGAGTTTCTTGCGTTTGATTATTTAAATATCCTTTCGACACACTTTGGAAGACATTGATCAACACGCCACTGTCTTTCAGGGGTTTACTTAGAAACACTGATGTCAAATGCATTTTACATCATTTCTACAGAATTTGATTGCACTTTCTTTAAATCTAAAGTACAAATCTTAATTGTAAATATAGCTTTAAAAAAATGATAAAGAATTTAAGGGGAAAAAACTAGGAATTTAACCAGAAAGTTAAAAATGGAAATGCAGATTTGTGACATAAACTCGCCTGCTGCCAGGCCGAACAAGACGTGATGACACTGAGAAAAGTTGTGTAAAAATTATAATTATTTTACTAAAAAAATATTAAAAATTATATGTACATCGTTAAACTTCAAAAATTAATGAATAATTAAACTATACTTACAGCATCATAAAACATTTTTGTTTTAGTTGGAGATGTGTGCAAATCTTTGGACTCAGCACTGAGGAGCAGCGAGAAGGCCTTCAACGCCTATACCACTGAAGAAGTTCTATATATTATTTATCGTTTGCTTAAAAAATTTCCCTCTAGAAATGGTTAGTAATTTCTAATTCATGTCTTTGCTATTTAGCCAAGAAAAAAATGAAATTATTTTTATTTCTATCGAAATATATGCATGCACGACAAGGTATGGCTTTTTGTCTCAGTGTCATGAAGTAAATGTTGCAGAAAGAAAGTCGATTCCTGGAGAAATCATCGCTTTTTTAAAAATCTCTAAGAGATTTATAGACACAAGCATAAATTAAGTTTTTTTAATTCTCGAGGAACTTGAAAAACAAAGTYTTTCGAAGCTTTTTTGGATCAATGATCATGTTTGATCAAGCTTCACAAGTAATCTTTTTTAAGGCGCCAGACATTATTATCCAGTTTGTAATAATCCTATCAAACATCTTTTAACTTAACAAAGATTACTTTYGATTTATCTCCACAAAAATTATCCTGGAACAATGAAATTTGAGACTTTAAAATATTAATTTTTTTGTGCTTAAAATACATTTAACTTGGCTCTAAGTACATGCACCATGGCAACGAAATACCTCTTGATTTCTCTAAACGATTGAAAAATTTATGGAATTGTGTTTTATTTTAGACAATTTGACGTAAGTGGTCCGAGGCTAATGGTTTTTCATTAATGAGCTATTTTTTTATCATGATCAAGATCTGAGATAGCATTGAGTAGATTTAATGTGAGTGCAATACGATTAACCGATCGACACAAGAGAAATCTATCACCAGTTCCAGACTGTCTTGATCAACATGGTTTTGACAATATTTATGTTAATAACTTTTCGTGTTCGTGGTATTTATTTTGGTTTTAGAAAGAAAAGCATGAGAGCAAACAAACGAGGTGAATATACTCGTTGTCGTTTATTTTTTTTAGCAATACGTTTTTGGAAGTCGTGTGGTGGCTAGGCTAAAGATTTTTTTTATCAGCTGTCGTAGCTGCTGTGGTGTTTAATAATTCGAACAGGTTCATGAGGAAAGTAACTTTTGTTATGACTTAAAGTATCAAACCAAAAGAAAAAGCTGAATGAATAAATGGTTTAATTAAAGGGAAGAAATGAGAAAAGAAAGGAAAAAGAAAGAAATGACAAAAGAACGAATGAGTGAAGGAAATAAAGGAAAGAAACGAAGAAAGAAGTATAGGAAAGGAACAAAGAAATACGGAATGAGACCGGAAAAAAAAGCAAAACGACAAAATAGAAAAGTTTGGAGAGTAAAGAAATGAACGAAGGATTTAATATATTCTCGACTTTCACATCCCCATAATGCCTTGCGTTTTGGGGGGTAACCAATCAAAAAACCGTTCCAAATTGAAAGGTTTCTTAATTGAATTTATACTATACCTGCTTTTATCTGTACAATACTGATTATCAGTTTATTCCTAGTTATTTTTTCGTGTACAGATCATGAAGAGTTTTGGTCTTACAGAAAATGTATTGACTTACGAAAAAATGTTTAAAATTTACCTTAAACGTCTTCAAGCTTCTATCTTTTTCTGTTTTTTACTTCTTCATTTTATCTTTGGATACCAAACAAGGTATTTTCAACATTGTCTGATCGGCCTTCAGCAAAATAAGTGGGTTTTTACCCTCTGGTTACCCCCCAAAGACGCAAAGGATTATGGGGATGTGAAAGTCGAGAATAGAAAATGAAATAAAAGRAAAATGGAAGGAAGGAAGGAAGGAGGGAGTAAAGTAAAGGAAGGACAAAAGAAATGGAAAAGAAAGAATGGGATAAAATGTAGCAAATAGCAAGAAAGGAAATCCTGTATGAGCTTCTTGTGTAAAAAATGAACTATTACACTAAGCCTATACTGACCGGCAGCCAACCATTGATCCGTCTTATTCATAAGGCACATGAACAGAATCTGATGATATTAATATTAATATTTCCAGGAATTGTTTGCATGAAGATTGCGCATCGCTGCACATAGCATCAAAGAAGATCCCTAAACTTTTTAATCTCACCTAAATTAATAAATTAATAATAACAACTAATATAAACTATGGAATAACTCCTCGATTTTAGTAGTATATTGTTTTTTAAATAATGCTCTTTGATTTTACTAAAAAAAATAGTAAATTGAGCTTCCTTCGAGAAAGAAAAAAATTGCTAGACGGAAGTTYTAATATGCGAAGATGATACAAATAGGATACGGTAGCTTTAACGAACATCCATTAAACATTTTCTCTACAACTATTTTTATTTTRAACTAAAATTTGTTCAGTGGTTATTCAAATTATTCAACTACAAACTCAGTCTACTTCTCGTTCTGCAGATGAGCTCCAACAGTCTTTGTTTCTYGAATCCTTCCTCCCCTTTTCTCTTTTCTTTCAGGCAAACAGCATCCCCACTCTTGAAAACCCTAAAAACTTTACTATGTCATGTCTATCGCCAGCGATTTAAGCCTTCGCTTCTACTCAAACATTTACTGAAATTCTATAAAAATACCGAGTTGTATTTCTCATGAGATTCTATAAAAATACAGTTGTATTTCTCAGTTCCAAGCCTTGTTCTACAACACTGACAGTGACCGTTTCATCATCTCTCTCTTCTTCCTCAACATCGGTGGCGTTTGAGCTTTCTTCACAAGGTGTTCCTCCGTCGATGGCATTCGACTCAGCTTCATATGTCTCTGAGTTAGAGTTGCAGCTCTGAACATCCATGAAAAGGCTTGCTTTAATTCAATGGAGGTCTCTTTTGAGCTGCACATCACAGCATGGAACTCTAGGTGCTTCTCTTGATGCTTGGGCTTGAAAGTGAACAAGAAAGCAYTTTCCATCGAGCTATCTCGGCCACAACATAAAATATTATTGACGCAATAGAAATAATCTTTTCCCGTCTTGGGGCACTTTAGAGACAAGCCTCTCTCATTCACTGTTAAAACCATCTTTTTTAAGTCGTGTGGCTTCATCTTTAGTTCTCCTAAAATTTGAGCAAGTTTGATGTGAAAGTCTGATTCAGTGTCCTCTGATTCTTTCGCGTCGCAGCATCCAAGATACTTGACTACGAACCTCGGGTGCTCTGTAATCTTAGCTTCCTTATGATGCAAAGACAACATGGYTTCTTCTTCCCCCAATAAACTGTAGACAGGAAAAATATGTAGAGCTCAACTCAGTGTATATAACGTGAATAATTTTCAATGGAAAGTTCAGTGGTAAACAGCGGAACGGAGCTTGATG